TGTGATCTCTGTAGTTGAGAGTCTGGTTCTTGGTTTGTCTCTTTATTCCTTTGCCCATTTGTTTTGTTTCTTAAATTCCACAGATGAGTGATCTCATACAGTATTTGTTTTTCTCTGAATGACATGTTTCACTCAGTATCATACTTTAGTTCTATCCACGTTGTTGCCAGTGGCAAGATCTTACTCTCTTTGATGGCTGAGTACTACTACATTGTGTGTGTGTGTGTGTGTGTGTGTGTGTGTGTGTGTGTGTGTGTGTGTATATCCACCACATCTTTATCCATTCGTCAGTCAATGGACGTTTGGGCTCTTTCCATAGTTTGGCTATTGTCGATAGCGTTGCTATAAACATTGGGGTGAATTTGCCTCTTCGAATCAGCAGTCTTGTAGCCTTTGGACAAACACAGGGTAGTGTGATGGCTGGGTCATAGGGTACTTCTATTTTTAACTTCTTGAGGAACCTCCACACTGTTTTCCAGAGCGGCTACACCGGTTTGCATCCCACCGGTTTGCAGTGCAAAAGGGTTCCTCTTTCTCCGCATCCTCACCAGCACCTGTTGTTTCCTGAGTTGTGAATCTTAGCCGCTCGGACAGGTGTGAGGTGGTGGTATCTCAGTGTCGTTTTGATCTGTATTTTCCCTGATGAGGAGTGATGTCGGGCCTCACGTGTCTGTTGGCCACTTGTGTGTCGTTTTTGGAAAAAGCTTACGTACGTTCATATATACATATGTGTATATATGTGTGTTTAAAAATTGATATTTGTTTATTTAGAGAGCGCACGCACATTTACAAGCTAGGGAGGGAGGGAGGGAGACAGGGAGAGAGACAGAGAAAGAGAGAGCGAGAGAGAGAGAGGACAGGAGAATCCCAAGCAGGCTCCACAGTCAGTGCAGAGCCTGATGTGGGGCTCGATCTCATGAAGCACAAGGTCGTGGCCTGAGCCAAAATCAAGAGTCAGACATCTAGCCTGCTGCGCCACCCACGCGCCCCAAGCTTTTACGTTTTTGAAAATGATTTTAATGTTTGCCTCTGGGTACCTGTTAGTAATGAATTATTCATGTAATTTATTCAAACGTATTGAAGGCGCTTACAACAACGATAAAAATTCGTTAACTGTCTTTGTCTATACCCAAAGATTCAATAGGTTAAAACTTACAGGTGTTATATTTCACATTTCATATACATTATGCTTCCTGGTGTTTCTGCACTTAGTTACGTTGAATGTGTGGCTTGCTTCTGGGTCAGATTCCAGGGCCGGTCAGGAAAGGGGCTGCAGGGACGTCGGGGAGCACTTTGTTGGGTTAGCACACAGCTCGCCAAGCAGGGTCTCTGGCTGTTTCCTCAGTAACCGGTCTCCCTTTTTCACCTATTTCTGTTCTGACAGGTAAAATACATGAGAGTCTTAAGTGATTTTCCCGAGTTGTTTTAAATTTTTTTTTTTTTTCAACGTTTATTTATTTTTGGGACAGAGAGAGACAGAGCATGAACGGGGGAGGGGCAGAGAGAGAGAGGGAGACACAGAATCGGAAACAGGCTCCAGGCTCTGAGCCATCAGCCCAGAGCCTGATGCGGGCTCGAACTCACGGACCGTGAGATCGTGACCTGGCTGAAGTCGGACGCTTAACCAACTGCGCCACCCAGGCGCCCCTTCCC